GGTTTGGTATCTCCTGCCCCTTCCTCACAGCAAAAAAAAAAAAAAAAAAAGGGGTGGAAAAAAATTAGCAGTTTTTGGCTGGGAGCCAGCCTGTCTGTCTCCTTTTCTCTCTTCTGGCTGTGCTGCCTCTTTATATGGATGACAGGCCTTGGACGTTGCTTGGCTCGCCAGCACTGTGTTTAACATGGTGTCCTGGATGAATAAATGCTAAAACAGTGTTTGTTGCCAATTATAAGTGTTCCAGAATATCCTGTTGCCCTCTAAGCTGGTTTGTTTTTTTTTGTTTGGTTTTTTTTTTTGAGTAGATTTGGGGAGCAGGAGCACCAAGTACTTTAATCTGCATTTTGAGGTGAAATGCTCGTGCCCACGCCTGTGTTCCCTTGGTGTTCTAATGTCTCCTTATTTAAACCACACATGAATTGCAGGAGATGAAACCAGACAAAGGGTGAAGTTTACAGACGATCGTGTTTGCAAGAGCCACCTCCTGGATTGCTGTCCCCATGATATCCTGGCTGGAACAGTAAGTATGGCCTCTGTCATAAGGAATTCTGGTGGGGAGGATGTTGGTACATCTCGTCTGGGCAGAGTGGGTGACTTCTAGGAGAGAGCAGTCACAATCCTAATTCCAGCTTTTGTGAACTGTGTATGGAAACTGCTGAAGTCAGGAGCTCTTAAGATACACTTGAAATGCTTTTCCCCTCACAATCCCATGTGAAGTTGTAAAATTCTTTCTCTTTTAGCAGTTTGAGGTGGTCAAATCCTAAAACTTGTCCTGTAGTGGTTCCCAGACTGTAGGTCGGCTGCTGCCCTGGATGCTCTAGTTCACTGTTGCATCTTCAGCTTAGCAGGTGTTTTCTTAGCAGCTGCAATAGTCCTTGGAGGTTGTCAGTCACCTCTCTCCAACCATGTTGATGTTTCCTGATGGAACAGCAGCTATTCCATCATTCCTGGTGGGGTGGCCATGGCAGGTCACAGCTCCAGCCGAACGTGGGTTGTTTGAGCTGGTTGTTTTTTGTGTCTCTCTGCCCCACTGGTCTCACACAGTTCTCTG